GCAGGCAGCAATTTCGAAGCAAACACTTGAGTCGGGGGCATGCGACTTTGTTTCTGGGCGCGGAGCTCTCCGGTGCCCGCGTGTGTCACCGCCAGTCTCCGGGGACAGAGGCGGAGCTCACAACAGGTGGGGAGGGAGACTTGCTTAGGGCCAAAAAGGAGAAGGAATCGAAGTTTCCAAGCGCTGTGGTATCTGGGGAGGAGGGGGGCAGGAGGCGGGGGCGAGGAGAGGCGGAGGCAACGAATGACCGCGACCCCGCGGCAACCAGCAAACTCTTCGGCTTTCGGCGCCGCGGTCCCCACTCGAAGCACACGCGGTTCCGGCTCACCGGCTCAGCTGAGTCCTCTGCGGGACAGGAATGGAGCGCAGGGAGCTCAAGAGGAAGGAAGGCGGTGCGCGGGCGAGGGACGGAGAGCCATCGACCGCCGGGACAGCAAGAGGGACGTAGCGACTCGCGCGTCTCAGGACAGATCGGAGTTTGGGAAGTCCCCCCGTTCCCCAAGCTTAAGAAGGGGGTAAAACCAGAAAATGTGTGTGGCGGAGAGGAGGGAAATCCGAGCGCGGCGACTCGCCGCAGCGCACTCTGCTCCTACTCCCCACTCGCCGATCTGGCCCCGGCTGCCGCGGGCCCTTCGCGGGGAGGCTGGGTTCCGTGGGCCGAGCGCGCATGGAGGTGCGTTTCTAGCTGGGGGTGTGCGAGTGTGTCTGAGTCTGCTGGGCTCCAGGAGGCAGCGAAGGGGTGCTCTAGCCGCCGGACTCAGGGCAAGGCGTGCGTGGCACCGGGAATGTCCACAGGAGCGGGGCACTAAGAGCGGGTGTCCCCATTCTGCCGCAGCTCGCGGAGCAACCCGAGGGCACACACTCGCGGAAAGCGAAGGGGAAAAGTTTGCTCCAAGTCCAAACTTTGAGCTGCAGAGGCGCCCAACGCGCGCCCCCTCCCGCCAAGGACCCGACCCGGGGCCCTGCACCCGCCCGGCTCCTCGGCAAGCACCCCGACGCGGTACTCCTAAAGTTGCTCCAGGCGGCCTGGGCTTATTTATTTCTCTCCCCGCGGCAATCGTGGCGAGCACAGAACAAGGCGTGAAGGGGCCGAGGGGAAGGCGATCTCGCCTTCTCGCCGCCACTGCCCCCCCCATTTGACTTATGCAAATAGACCGAAGACTTCAGGCGCCTCTTAAGTCCCCTCCACCTACCCGCGCCGGCCCGCAGCACCCACCCTGACCCCAGAGCCTGGGCCCCGACCTGTGTGGGAGAGAGGCTGAGAGGGGAGGGCTGGGGAAGATGCACGTGGAGCTTGGAGGTGGAGAGTGGTATTTTTTCTTTTTTTCTTTTCTTTTTTTCTTTTTTTTTTTTTTTTTTTTTTTTTTTTTTTTGTGCTGGTTGTTGTTGTTGTTTAAAGTGGCGGAAACAAGGCAGGAGGCGGCTTGGGAAAAAGTGGAGCAGAAATGGAAAAATACAAACTCACCCGCTGCAAATGGTCTCTCGGTGCAAACTAAGGTGTTTTCGGGCCTTTCCCCGCGCGCGCCCACTCCCGCCCGCGCGCGCACCCCCTCGCACACACTCACTCGCGCACACACACTCGCGCACACACGCACTCCCGGGCGAGGGCAGGGCCACCGCGAGTACAGCATGCAACCGCCACACAATAAATAACAATAGATTCCTCCGCTCGGGACTAGCTTCCCGGAGCCCTGCCAGCGCCGGTGGCGACGGCGGCGCGGGTAGCGTTTGGCTGGGGGCACTCCCCAGCCCGTTCCCCGGCCTCCTGCTAGGGCCCCCTGCCCGCCTCGCGCACCCCAAGGCCTCCAGCGCCCCCGGAGTGCGAGCCGCCATCCCCCGGACACTCGAGCGCTGGCACCCACTCCCCTCCCCCCGGCCTCCCGGAACAAATAAATAAATAAGGCGCGCGGGAGGCCAACACGTCGCGGAGGGAGATGTTGTTATTTTTTGCTGTTGTGCGTCCCTGACGTCACATCCACCTGCTGGGTAAACAACAAGGCTCTCAGCAAAAAAAAAAAAAAAGAGAGAGAGAAAGAAAAAAAAACGCAGCTGCTAGAACAAGGTTGGAGGGTGGGGGTCGCTCGGGGGAGAGGTCTCGGGAGGTGGGAATTAGGAGCGTCCAGGCTGGATGGATTAGAGAAGAGGGAAGCAGAACCGCACAGACCAGAGGAGGAAGGGAACGCCAGAGTAGTCCCTGGCAAAAGAGGGATCTGGCTAGAAAGACCTGGAAAATAAGGGGCAAGAGGGAGGAGGGATTCCTCAGAAGACCGGGAAGTGGGGGCCCATTCAGAAGCTGGAATAAAATGATAGGCAGAGTGTTAAATAGGGCCGAAGATGGGAATGTGATGGCTATTCGCTTGGTTTCTGAGCTAAAAATATAGAAGGAAGGGGAGAACATAGGCAAGGATGTGAGTCTCCTCCAGTTAAAAGTGAAAGTGTTTTTGCCATCAGTGACAGTTGAAGGAGGGGGAGGAGGGGTGGTGTTTTCAACCCCCTTTCTCCTCTCCCATCCACCCTCGATCTCTTTCTTTCTGCACTTTGTCCAATGAAAGAAGGCGAGTTCGGGAGGTGAAAGTTCAACAGAAGGACAAACCCCTGTTTGCAAGGAAGCAGAAACCTGCCAGCGACGGATTTTTCCCTGTATTTTGAATTAGGAAAGTGTAATGTGGGACGAGCCCCTCCCCTGATCCCCCCCCCCCCCTTGTCAGAGTCACTGCAGGAATGTGTAGTTAGATCCACTTCGGGGGAAAGTGGCTGCATCAGGAGCTGTGTTCTTGCCACGTTTCTCTTAAGAAAATGCCCAGGGGCTAGCATGTCAATCAGTTGTTTAACACAGATTACCTGCTCTCCAAGAGATCAGTCACTTGCAAAAAGCTTTGTCCAATTCTTTGGAAAGGTGAGATTTTTTTTTTTTTTTCTTCTCGGTGCCGTTTTGAAGTTTGGTGAAATTTAGAAATTTGAAGGAAAAAATTAGGAGCCTGAATGAAATGTTTTGAAATATATTTTAAAAATGTATAAAACAAAAGACACTAGTATTTCTTTCGCTTTTATCAATACAAATAGAGAAGAAGACTTTTTGTTTCCAAAATGTGACTTAGAAAGATATAGGTTCCTGTGGTTTGTTGTTGTTGTTCATAGAAATAATTTTTTTCAGATTCATCACCCCAGATGCTGCCAAATTCCCAAGTCAGTACTTCCAAGCTACTGGCCAGCTCTTTATGAGAATATACTGAAAGTCACCCCTGTGGATTCCTACAACATCCCAGGGATGAGGGGCTCGGAGAGTACTGCCGGATTGGACTTAAGACCAGCACAGTTGTAGATAATAAATATCCTAAAAAGGATATTATAAATTCTTTTGGAAAATTTTTTACAAATATTGTTAAACATTTACAGAATTCTAAATCTCAATTTCAATAATAGCATAAGACTACCACTTTAAAATTGCATCTGTTTTGCAAGTAAAAAATAACAAAGGCATTCACTGGTGTTACAGAATAAAGCCAGAGAAAGGGAGACTATGATAAGGTAATTCTAGCATAGTCGGATTTATATTGAATGTATGCTGCACAAGATTCCATGCTATCCACACAAGGCCATCAATCAGATCTTTGAGACTAGATAAATAAAATGCATTTTAGTTTGAGTAGAACTTCCTAGAGGCTAGGGTTCATGTTATCTTTAATTCAAGACATTAAGACATTAATGACACACCTACTACGTTCTAGACTATATAGTAGGCACTGAGGGATGCAAAAATAAATAAAATTCCTGCCCTTGAGGAGCTCACAGTCTGCAGCTGTCAGGAATAACATCTGATATTTATTGAATGATTACTATGACCTAGGCACTGACATGAAAACTTTATGTCAACTTACTGCTCAAAGTAGCCAGTCTATTGCAGGAAAAAATGTTTTTTCATTTCTAAAATGTTTATGCCAGGTATAACATTTATGGTATATGTTGGGTTGCTGAGTTATAACTCAGGGAAACCGCAATTTATTTAAATGTGATAAATTTTTTCCTAGTCTGTAAAGAACAATTCATGCTCTGAGCTTGTTTTTCAGATTGAACAGTGGGTCTTAAAAAAATTATTAGTATTACCATACTAATAATTTCTTTAGATTGGCACTGACCTTATTCTGCATTTTAACTGCCTTAAATTCTACATTCATTTGAAAGTGGGGGCCAAAGTCAGATTGGCAACAAGTTTTGCAGACAAAAGGAAATCCTAGTTGTAAATCCCATGATATATTTTACTCAATTCTGTATGTGATACTGTCTAATGTGCTGTCTTATTAAAGAACTCCACATCCATTTGGCTTACATTAGAGGGAAACTTAACTGCAGTTTAACATATTGTTCATTTTCAACACTGTCACGTTACATTCATGGGGAGCACATTTTAATTTCTTTATCAGTAATCAACTCGAAGTTTCTTTTTGTTAAAGCAAGGGTTTTTAAATAAAGGGCATGGGGGTAGGACGCCACCTTTTGGTGGTAAAACAAATAGAAATCCCTTTTTAAACAGATGTTCCTGACATCGTCTCATTTTTAATTACAAGGCAAAGGTGCTTGTCCCCATTTTGTGATACTTTAAGTAATAGGGGACAAAAACGTAAATGCAAAATTAGCAAATTATAGTTAACTGTGGCCAAAATTTTCCCAAAGGTATCAGAACATGTTAGTGCCCTGCCATGTACTATTAACTATTAGTCAAATACCAACTTGGTTCTGCAAATATCGTGTCAATGAATAGATGCACATTTTGAGGAACAGAAACTGAAGTGGATGTTTACCACTTAATGAGATACGTGAATGCTCTTCTAAGTTTTGAGTAAACAGAAACTTTAAAATCACCTAATTCAATGTTTCTTAAACTATAATTACCATCTTCCTAACTTTTGCCATAACTATATAACAATATTTCCTGAATAATTAATATGCTATGCTCATTAGAGTACAGTTATTATGGTAATTGTCCAAATATTTTCCTTTAAATCAACCTATATTTTATTTATTTTTCTATTACTAGTTTAAATGAGAAATCAGTATCACCCTCCATAAATTAAAAACAATCACAGTGAAAACTAAACCACTGACTTCTCTTTGTTAGAAATGGACAGTGGCAAAAAATATAAAAATTAAAAATAATTTTTTAAAAAACAGTGGCAAGTGTTGAGAAGTGTTAATAGCAGGAGTATCAATGGAGAATTGGTTTTCTCTTTGTTTTTGTGGACAACCAGAAGGATTGAAAGTGATTGCAAAGGGAGTATCGTTCTCAATATGTGATTTAATGTTATCTAATGCCATCCCAGTGGCAAGACTCCTACACTTTGAGAAACATCAAATTACCAAATAGAAAGCTGAGGCCCAGGAAGGTTAGATCACCCTCTAAGGCCAAATAATTGGTTAGTGGTTGGAAAAGGATCAGAACCCAGGTGCCTGGACTCGATGGCTTTATGTATTTCAGTCTCATGCTTTCCACTTCACAAGAGATGTGCCACTCATCCTCACACATTATGTGGCCTGTCTGGCTTTTCAGAAACGGCCAACCTAAATATCCCTTTACAGACAGAGGAGAAACAGAGGCCACGGAGGGTCAAGTTCAACCCCCTACTCACCCTTACCTCTCCCTCAGGTGTGGCAGATGTCCAGGTGGGGGTAAACACAGAGAAGTAAAGGGGGGAGGGCTGGGAGGAGAAAAAGGAAGTAGAGAGAAGAGAGAGGTTAGTAACAAGTGGTCAGACTCTTCTTTAAATGAAAACTTACACTCCTCTTTCCTTCCCAGAAGAGAAAAATGGCTAATGAAAATAATGTGTTTCACAGTAAGTGGCAAGAGAAGTGTCCTTCATTCTGATGTCACTGTATGTCCACACCAGAAATCAACAGAGAGCTCCTGTTTTAAAGTATACAATATTAGACACTCTAGGAAAAACCACATTTGATAATAATAGAGTGGTTTGAAAAGCTGGTCAAAGAATGGTGAAAGATCCCAGTTTTAAAAGGCTTTTCCCCCAAAACAAAATTTGATCAGAGGCTCATCATTAAAACTATAAACAATAGTTCATTTTCTGAAGTTTTAACCACAAAGAGAGGCCTTAGTTATAAAGATTGCATTTCCTGCTTTCTTCCTTTTAAAGGCACAGTTCTATAAATATAAACATGGCCTGCAAATATTTTTTATGTTTTTCTAATTGGTCCTGGTGAAAAGAGGTTGCTGATAACTATAGTCTATAACTCTTTGTCCTGTGGTTCCCAGTGGATTGTAATCCCTATAAACTGCAATGCACAATGAAGCATTTGGCCAAGTACTTCCACCCCAAAAAGCTATTCTAGTCCCGTAACCCCTGAAGATTCACAGTGCAACATGTTGGTAATTTGAAAGACGCATAAAGGGAGTACGACAGCTCAATCCTACTTGCCAGAGGTAATGAGAACAATCTAGAGCCTTGCTATACAAAATGAGATATGCTGACCTGCAACATGGGCACCACCTGAGAGTATGTTAAAAATGTAGAATCAGTCCACTCCCTATACCTACTGAATCAAAATCTGCATTTTAACAAATCTTCCCAGCTGAGTCTGACACTCATACAAGTTTCAGAAACACATCTGCAGTGCACGTAGCCACTCACATAACACGCACCATCTCCACAATCTTTACAGTCTTAAACTGCTCAACAGCACTGTAAGCTGTATGCCATACCTGGTTCTCCAAGCTGGTGTCTTTTGTAAACTTTGTTGGTTCCTTGTTTTCAACCACGTGCAAAGTTAAGCCACTAAATCACCTATGTAAACCATGATTAATTCCTTTAACATTAATAGCAGGGTGACTTCTCTCTCCTGTTACCCCAAAGAGACTGCTAATTGCCCTCCAATTGTTTACCTTTGTATTGTTTTATGAGTGCTCAGAGAAGGATGGAAGATATTCCCCACCACGCCAGAAACAAATGCCAGACAGGTTTTGGGAAGACTGAACACATGCTATGACTACACCGTGTTAGTAGAAGGGCTTTGCTTTCTTTGTTTTGTTTTCTTTTTTATGGAAGGGATGACGCCTCCGTAATTACAGGTATTGCTGTTTAAAACTGAGAACGTTTTCCAAACCACTGAGGGGCCACACCTCTGGCAACCCATGAGCCGTCCTGTTTGGATTCTCTTTCCAGTTCCCTACGCAGTTTATAAAGACACATCCAAGCACCACTAGATTTACATTGAGTATAATGAAAGGAAGGAGGACCCCATCTAAGTATGGTTGCTTCATCAATAAACATGTAGGAACCACAGGTAAACCTCCCTGCTGATTGTTCATTTGTTTCTGTGAAGTTCTCAAAAAGACTAGTCACTTTACCTTCCTAACAAGAAAACAAGTTACTTTTGTAACCGCCCAAAAAATAATTAAAACTATTGTTTTAATACTGTCCTAAGGCACTATAATTAAGTCTCTGAGTAATTGTGTACCTGAATTTAAAATAAGATTTCACGTGTAAAGCAAAATTCTGATTATAATCTCTGAGAAGTGTCTTGGCTTAAATTTAGAATCCACAGGTACCAGCTCAGTATTACAATAGGTATTGTTCTGTAGGCTGGAGACAAACTGTTTGTATGAGAAGGGAAATGAGGCAGGTCTTCCCACCTTCAGGCACAGTGAGGTTGTGTGTTCCAAATTACAGAAGATTTTAAAAGGAGCTGAAGAATACTAAGCATGGGGATAGGCTGAGATTTTTGTTATGCTAAATTCAAGATTTTTTTTTTAGTAACATCTATAAAATAGCTATCAAGAGAAGCTCCCCACCCCTCAGGCCCAGGATGTTCTTGAGCCACTGTTAAAGTTAAAAAGCCATATAAAGATTAAAACTCTGATATCCCCAAGGCTAGGATGAATCCTTTGGTAATGAATTGGAGTATATAAATATAAATATACATTTATATTTACAGATAAATACAGAAATAGACCTCTATGTATATGTATGTGTAAGTTAATATACATACATATATTTCCTAGCTCCGTCCACTAAAAGGGGCTAGAAGCAGCAAATACACCCCAATAGCAATGAGCACAACTAGCACCCAGATCTTGTTTTCTAAATACCTTTCTCCAATAAAAGAAATTAGGGATCTTGAAAAACTAGTTAATTCCAGGGATGGGGCAGGGAAAATACAAGATTAGCCTGGCGTATCTTATGCCAGAAAGTGCTAAAGGAAGAAAAAAAAAAAAAAAAGACAGTAGAAGGTGTGGAGAGACTTAAGGAAAGGCATAGGAGCTAACCTGAAAGAGCTCCCCAATGCTCAAAGTTGAAACATCTTGAACAAGAAAAGAAATAACAATAGTATTGGATTATAACACACACATATATATGTGTGTGTTATATATATAACATATATATATATAACATATGTGTGTGTGTGTGTGTGTGTGTGTGTGTGTATAAACATACATAAATGAGAAAGTGACAGAAGATTTCTTACAGAAGATTAGTGGGGTCCGATAATCAGTGTTTTAACAAGTTTTACTAGGTGACTGATGAAATGGCCTAGAGCACTCAATCACATAACCTATATTATTTAAAGTGGGTTGTGTGTAGTCAGGGAGCAGTGAGTACTGTGGGGAATTTGAGCACACAGGCCTCAACTAAAACGGAGCAGATGTTGAGTGCCCTCATTGGGAAAGCAAGCCCAAGGCAGAAAGAACTTTTGAATTTTCAGGAGAGTCAAGAAATCCAGATTTTTATCCAAATAGTCCTCATTTGGTGAGGGACCATGGAAACAGGAATTCTTAGAAGGTCACCAGCTGGTTATGATATACATTGAGGTTTGGAATCCTTCTGTGAGGATTTCTAATTATTATCTATACTGGGACTATCTCCATTTATAAAAAAGAACTTTAAAGAGGGCAAGATGAACAGTAATATAATGACTATAGACCACAGAATTGTACTATAATCATGTAATGTAATAAATATAGCTACAAAGGTAATCATATTACAATATATAAATGTATCAAAGTAACAGATTATACAACAGGTTATACCTTCAATTTATACAATGTTATATGTCAAATATATTTAATTAAAAAAAAAGAAGACATGACATGAACAAAACAAGACACTGTAGCATTGCAAAAGGTTCCTAGAGGTCATGTAATTTAACTTACTGGTTTTCCACAAGTGAAAATAGTGACAGAAAGTGAAAGTAGTGAAAATAGTGACAGAAAGATTAGCTGAAACGCCTCAGAGCGAGGCAAGGTAATGTCTTGGTAACTGGGGAGTCTTGGGTGTCAGACATACCTAGGTGAAAATCCCAGCACCACACTTACCGGTATGTCACTTTGAGTAAGTTCCTGAACCTTTTCGATCTGCTCCTTGGTAACACAGCAGTAGTAACTGCATATATCTTCTTTTAAAATTTATTTTTTATTAAAGTATAGTTAACAATATTTTATTAGTTTCAGGGGTACAACATAGTGATTTGACAATTATCTACCTGACAATGTGATCATCACACAAAGTCTAGGAACCATCTGTTGCCATACAAAGTTATTACGATATTATTGACTATTTTCCCTATACTGTCTGTACTTTACATCCTCATGACTTATTTGGAAGTCATAGGGTTGTAAAACAGCATAGGGAAAATAGTCAATCATTGGAAGTGTGTACTTATTAATCCCCTTCCCCTTTTTTACCCATCTTTCCTCTGGCAACAATCAGCTTGTTCTCTATATCTGTGGGTCTGTTTCTGTTATGTTTTTTCATTTGTTTTGATTTTTTTTTAGGTTCCACATTTAAGTGAGATCATATGGTATTTGTTTTCTCTGTCTGACTTATTTCACTTAGCATAATGCCTTTTAGGTCCATCAATGCTGTTACAAATGGCAAGATTTCATTTATTTAGGGCTGAGTAATATTCTATTGTGTTCACATTTTCTTTACCCATTCTTCTATCAATGGACACCTAGCTTGCTTCCATATCTTGGCTATTGTAAACAATGCTACAATGAACATAGGGGTGCATATATCTTTTTGAACTAGTGGTTTTATTTTCTTCAGATAAATGCCCAGAAGTGGAATTGCTGGATCATATGGCAGCTCTATTTTGACATTTTTGAGGAAACTACGTACTCTTTTCCAAGGTGTCTGCACCAATTTATAATCCCACCAACAATGTACGAGGGTTCCTGTTTCTCCACTGCCTTGCCAACACTTGCTACTGACTTTTTGTTAATAGCCATTCTGATAGGTTTGAGGTGATATCTCATCATGGTTTTGATTTGCATTTCCCAGATAATTAGTGATGTTGAGCATCTTTCCATGTCTGTTGACCATCTGTATATCTTCTTTGGAGAAATGTATATTCATGTATATTGGAGAAATGTCTATTTTTTAATAGAATTTTTTTTTGATGTTGAGTTGTATGAATTCTTTATGTTTTTTGGATATTAACCCTTTGTTGGATATATCATTTGCAAATATCTTCTCCCATTCAGTAGGGTGTTTTGTTTTGTTTGTTTTATTGATGGTTTCCTTAACATGCAAAAGCTTTCTAGTTTGATGTAGTCTCACTAGTTTATTTTTCTTTTGTTGCCATTGTTTGAGGAGACATACCCCCCCCCAAAAAAAAATTACTAAGACCAATGTGAAAGAGTTTACTACTTATGTTTTTCCATAGGAGTTTTATGGTTTTAGGTCTTACATTTAAGTCTTTAATCCATCTTGAGTTTATTTTTGTATATGGTGTAATAAAGTGGTCCAGCATCATTTTTTGCATGTATCTGTCCAATTTTCCCAACATCATTATTGACGAGACTATCTTTTCCCCATTGCCTATTCCTACCTCTTTGTCATAGAGTAATTGACCATGTAAGCACGGATTTATTTCTGGGCTATATATTCTGTTCCATTGATCTATGTGTCTATTTTTGTGCCAGGACTATACTATATTGATTGCTTTGGCCTTGGAGTATAGTTTGATAACAGGTAGCATGATACCTCCAGCTTTGTTCTTTCTCAAGATTACTTTGGCTATTCGGGTCTTATGTGGTTCCATATAAATTTTAGAATTATTTGTTCTAGCTCTGTGAAAATGCCATTGATTTTTTGATATTCTATGTGTCTATTTTTGTGCCAGGACTATACTATATTGATTGCTTTGGCCTTGGAGTATAGTTTGATAACAGGTAGCATGATACCTCCAGCTTTGTTCTTTCTCAAGATTACTTTGGCTATTCGGGTCTTATGTGGTTCCATATAAATTTTAGAATTATTTGTTCTAGCTCTGTGAAAATGCCATTGATTTTTTTGATATGGATTGACTCTGTAGATTGCTTTGGGTAGTATGAATATTTTAATGATATTAATTATTCCAACCCCTAAGCATGGTATATGCTTCCATTTATTTGTGTCATCTTCAATTTCTTTCATTGGTGTCTTATACCTTTCAAAGTACAGGTCTTTCATCTCTTTGGTCAAATTTATTCCTAGGTACTTTTCTTTTTTAGATATAATTGTAAATGGGATTGTTTTCTTAATTTCTGTTTCTACTAGTTTGTTATCAGTGTACAGGGATGCCGCTGATTTCTGTATATTAATTTTGTATCCTGCAATTTGACTGAATACTGAACTCATTTATTAGTTCTAATTAGTTTTGTAGTGGAATAAAAAAATGTGTTACTCTGCACACATCTTACAGGGTTGTTGAAAGGATGGACTGAAAGAATGCATTTGCAGTAGTTAGCCCAGGGCTGGGGGCTGAGTAAATGCTCAACAAATCTTAGTGCATTGGAAGAAGCAGAGCTTGATTCAAAATTCAGGAATCCTGACTCTCTCAGAGCTTCTCCAGGTTTTAACTGAAGGAATTCTAGGCCTTGGAGCTCAGATGTAGAACATTTTATCTGGATTTTCTCAGTGCCTTTCAAATCATTCCACTTAGGCTGCCTGCCTCACCAACTTCTGAAATCAAGTCTGCCTGCAATTGATCAATCCTCGATGCTAGAATAAGATGGATATATATAAATATATATATATATATATATATATTTGTGTGTATGTGTGTGTGGGTGTGTGTGTTTTTAAGTCAGAACTGGAAACAGCCATAGAAGAATCACCTTCCCAGACAGGGACATTCTCATGAAACTGAGCCTGATCTTGAGAAACAGATCAGGATTTCTCGACCTGGGCACTGTTGACTTTTGGGGCTGGATAATTCTGTGCTATGGGGTACTATGTTATACATTGTAGGATGCTTAGCAGCCATAACTGGCTTCTCCCTACTAGATATCAGTGACCCCAGTTGTGACAACCAAAAATGTCTCCAGACATTGCCAAAAGTCTCCCAGGAGGTAAAATTGCCATCAGGTAAGAATCACTACTGAAAGCACCCCGAGGGCAGGCAGGCAGGACTCTCTCTGGGGCACCAACATTCCTCTCCCTGACACTGGTTTTTATCTGATAACTTCCTCCACGAGGAAAAGCAGAAATCAGTCTCATTTCTATCTGTGAGCGAGTAGTCAAATAATTTTCTTTTCAAGAAAAAGGTGGCTTAAGGTGAGGTTCTTTGTAACTAGAACAGAGCTTTGTGACTGTAACTCCATAGCCATAGTCACCATCAAACCTTTTCAGTTCTGACAAAGCTATTGGCAGCAAAGCTTGTTCCATCATGATTAAGTAGACTTTATTAAAGTCAGTGACTCCATAAACAATGTCAGATGTTTGTGTCAGACTCACAGATCTCAATCTAAAAACAAAATGCAATAAAGGAAGTGGCGACGAATAGAATCAGAACTTTAGGATATTGCATCTCATAAGATGACACATAGAATTTATATTAGGTGGAAACTTCATCTAGATGTTCTAATTAAAATTCCTCTTCCTCTAGGAAGTCCCAAGGCATTTGCATCTCAGGTGCAGGAAGCTGTGGAACCAGCCAGACAGTTTATCATATGGAGGGGTCAGTGCCTATCACAAACTCCACCTTCTCAATACTAACTCATCCCTCTCTCTGCGGTTCCTGAAAAACTTATGTAGCCCAGCATGTTGTTGCTATTTTAATGAACAATAATGGAAAGGTCTGAATGACTACTAGATTGATAGAATGATTTGGAAAAAACAAGTGTTTGTTTCCAAGACTTTTGCTAACCTTGGAATTTTGATGGTTTTACACTCTAACATGATTCTAGGGATTCATTTCAACTTTGGAGGAACCTTCTTATGAGAAGCAGAAGTGG